TCTTGCCCCCTAATTTGCTAGCCCTTAGGCCTACCTTCGGAAGAGTCAGAGATTAAGACTAGGAGAGGGCTGGGCTCGGGGGCTCAGCCTATAATCCCAGCACTTTGGGAGGCTGAGACGAGTGGATTGCCTGAGCCCGTGGGTTCAAGACCAGCCCAGGTAATTTGGCGAAACCTCGGCTCTACAATAAATCAAAAAAAATGAGCCAGGTGTGATAGTACACACCTGTAGTTCCGGCTACTTGGAAGGCTGAGGCAGAAGGATCGCCAGAGCCCAGCAGGTAGACGCTGGAGTGGCCGTGAGAGCGCCACTGCACTCTGCCCTGGGCGACAGAGTGAGACTCCAACTAAAAAAAAGAAAAGACTAGGAGAGGAGGAGAAGCTAGAAAATAGGGAGAAAGACAACCTCCACCACCACCACCATACTCCATCAGGCCTGGGCAGGGGAATGCTTTCCACTGGATTCAAGTTTGGGAGTTTGGTTTCTCAGAGCAGGTTGGGCTGGAGTTATTTGGTTATTTGGTTAATGGGATGCTTTGTGCCAAAACAAAGAGACTCTCTGTCTATTATCTGAGAATGAGTGGAAAGGCTGCAAGATTTGCCTGAAATTTCATCCAGGGTTAGAAAGAATATTCACAGGTAAGGCTTAAAGGGATCATGAGAGAAAGAAATGGGTTTATCAACAAGTCAGCTGCATAAGCATCAACACAGCAGGACCAAAAGCTTGTCCCTGAGCAGCAGGACAGAGGTGCACAGAGACTCTGGAGGCCTGCAGAGGGCAGACAGAAACCCTGGGGCCAGGAAAGGGGTGTGGTCCACAGTATAGTCTTGTCTTGAGGGAAGGTGAATCTCAAAAGGGACGTTCAGCGTAGTCTGCAGCCAGCAGGCTGAGGGTGGCTAAGGTTTCCTTTGAATAGCTGGGGACAAATTGGCAGTCTCTGCACCTGCTGGCATTACTGTCAGCAGCAAGGTGTGGAGGCTGCTCAGAGGTGAAGAAGGGTTCCTGGGGAGGTCTGTCAGTTGAAGGTGGGAGGGTGAGGGGTTTCCTCCTGGGGAGCCTGAATGCTAGGGCTGAAGCTGATGGCAATGTGATGGACCCCCGGTTTCCTCTAAAAGAAGGCTGTCCATTGCCAAACTGCCAAATTAAAAGTTTATGTGGGACCCTGGTCTGGAGTGAGGGGCTCCCCCCAGGACTACAGGGGAATTGTCATGAAGCTGGCTGGCTGGAGGCACAAGAAGACGTCTTGTGTAGGGGTCCAAGAGCAGTTGAATAATGGCTACAGGGTTACCAAGTCCCAAGAAGAAGGGCACCCAGATATCTCTGATGCATTTATGCCGGAACTTCTAAGAGATGCCAGCAACTCTCCTGAGGTTCAGACTGTGTAGACTCCACTCCAAGGGGCATTTGAAGAGCCATCGTGTGGAAGACTATATTAAAGCAAGACACGTGTTTTCCCGGTGCCTGTGTCCTGTTTGTGAAAAAGACCGGTGTCTCTTGGCGCTGCACCCTCCCACTCTGGATTGACGAGGGCATTTGTTCTTTCTTGGTGGAACCGTCTGTGGGGACGACAGCATAAGCTCCAGGTCTATCTGTTCTCCTCTAGGTCTGGTATCTGCCATCTTGTTTGGGAAGGCTGGCATGTCCAGGGGATTTCAGGGGCAAGCCTTAGACTGACTGAGCCTCCAGCCTGGCTGCTCTGTGTAAAGGTGACTCTGGGTGTAACTGGCATTCCTGGCGCCAGGCCTGGGCAGAGACTCAGTGAGTCACACCACATTGCTTTTTCAAATAAAGGGCCACTATGGAGGCTTCCTTTAGAGGATGGAAAGGATGTTATAGGGAGATTAGCCCAACCTCCTATCTGATGCCTGGATTGTCGCTGCACCACGTTCCCCAACCCCACCTCCAAATATGCCTCTACCCCCAAACAATGCCCCCACCATGCATTGCCTCAACATGTCCCAGGCAGCCCGTGCCATCTCTAGCCTGTGAAAGTCACTCCTCATTTTGAGCTGAACTTGACTTCTTGGTCCCAGCTCTGTTCTCCGTGGCTGCACAGAGCACACTAGCTCCCTTGGTCATGTTCTGCTAGAGTATTCTCTCTGGAGTGATTATGTCTAGCACGTTGGCCCCATTTGACATGGTCCTTTTTTCATTTTCTCCAGTGTCCCTCTGAAATTGCATGATGCAGTTTCTCCAGTCCTAGGGTAAGAGCCCTCCTGGTTCAGACCTCTTACTAAGCCTAACCTGTAGAGAACTTTCCACCTCTGGCCTTCCTGCTCTTGCCCTTGCCTGGAATGTTTGCCTCAGTACCAGCTGTGTGTGGCATGGGCATACCCTGGGCTGGAGGGCCAGCATTTCTCCATCATGTCCCTCTCTGGCAGTTAGTCCAGTCCTCTTGTTAGAGGCATTGTTATTCCATGCACCGCTCAGAGAAATCGCTGTCAATTAAACTGTGACTGACGATGTCTAATTTTCACATCGTGTGTAGCTCATCCCCATTTCGAAGAAAATGTGTGTCATAGACCAGGATGAAATGGGACATATGGCCTGCCTTGTGATGCAGGGCCAATGAGACAAAGCACGTGGGTGCCTAGTATGGTGCTCAGCACAGTGAAAGCTTAGCAGATGACACCCACTTTTATCAAGGCCTTCCAGCAGTTCATCAGTGCCCCCCCCAGCCGGCCCCCGCCCGCCTCTCCAGCCTCAGGGAGATGACTTCCGGTGGCATCCTCTTACCTCTTCCTGGAGTGACCCCTCCCCACGGCCCTTCTTGTAAGTGTCCTCAGTTGCCACTGCCCAAATATGTAAAGTCTCCCCGCCCACCCCTCCTTCCATGCTCCCCCCTCACACAAGCTTCCATCCAGAGGATACTCGCTGTGTTGTCTGCTCGCTCACCTGTCCCCTTCCCAAGAATGTGGCCCTTTGAGAACAGGGACTGAGTTATTAATCTTTGTGTCTCCAATTCCCAGCACAGCACTGGGACATGGTGGAAGACCCAGGAATGTTTGCCAAATGAGTGATGCTTTTCTCATGTTTAATAACACCTGGATTTGCGTCGTGCTTTATAGTTTCACAGGTTTCTTATCATCTATTTCCGTATCCTGTGACTCTGAGTAAGTCAGGACAGGTGGCAATGTTCTTGTTTCACAGCCAGAAAACCTGAGCACCTGTTAGGGGACATCCCTGAGTGCACAGGGCCGGGTTAGTGTCTGAGCCGGAATTAGAGTCAGGCTCTGGCCTCTTACAGTTTTGGGGTTGATGGGCTCTTGGCTTAGAACAGAGGTGGTAAACTGGCAGCCTACTGGTCATATGTGCCTTGTGGATGTGTTTGGCTGACATAGTGTGGTTGTTGTTGTTTTAAGTGCATAAGTTGCCAATACTGAAAAAATTAGATTTCCCACAGAAATCCCAATTACTAGCTTAAAAATTGATGCATCTTGCAACCCTGGGCTTACATCCCCTCATGGGCAACAACTGGTATGTGCTCTACTCCCCAGGCTACCCTAACCCCATTGTCTGATACCCACAAAAACATGCAACCCCTGCTTAGACAAAGAATTGAAGTTTAGCTGGAATGCTGTGCTGGCTGATTGGGCCTCCAGAGAGTACCGTCTGCAGTTGTCAATAAGCCCAGGCTGTGGCGGGAACTTGGAGCCACCTCCTGCCTTTGCAGTTGTCATTCCCAAGCCTGCCTCCGGTGGGAAGGACAGAGGTTGAAGCTGTTGGGAGCCAACATCTATAGCTACATGGCTGAGGCCTGTAAAGGCCCATCTGGAAGATCGCCTCTGACATAGGATATCAGTTATACCTATGATATTGGCGTGTGATTGGTGACCAGTGTGCATACATGGCAGTAAAACTTATAAGTGAATCTCAGTACATTTGATGGAAGGTGCATGGCGGAATTGTTTCTGTCTTTCTAAGTTTAGCTTCTTTCTAGATATTTTTTTACTTCTATTTCCTGGTAGACTGGGTAGTCCTTGTTCCCGAAAGCTGTTTCCCCTAGGGCTAAGATTAGAAACTAAATTACCATGATAGTTCTGTCCCCTGCCCCTAGCCAGGTAGAACGTTTTCTTTTGTTTCGTTAATTACCGAAACTCTGTCTGCTTCAGCCCATGGCCGCCATCTTGGAAGCCCTGCATTTCCTTGTTCAAGAGTGTGACAGCTACTATTTGATTTTTAGAGTAGACTTGTTGGGATAAAATATATACATATACACTCATAGCTGCGTAAATCTATGCTTGCTGTTTTGATTCCTTTTGCTACATTATTCAAGTGTAATAGTTACTATATGATTTATAAAAGAATTAACGATAAGGTATTAGCTTAATAGGATATAGCATAGTATTAAAGTCCAATAACTAGATCATATGAAAATTAAAGTTTAGACATATGAAACATGAATTATAGTAAAGTTTTGTAGTTTAAGAATAAGTTTTAACTGAGTTATAAGGCGTTATGTTAAATTGTAATAGGTTAATAGTATAGTGTTAAGTTGATAATATTAATTGTTAAAAATATTGGGAATCAGTGAACTTGGATTGAACCTAGAGTTAACTCAGGAAAGTTTTTTGTATTATCAGGGTATAGAGCAAAGAGTATAATATGAATGATTCGTTGAACATTATGGAAAACACTTTGAACGATTTGTATTGAAATTGTGCACCTGTGACCTTGATGTAAGCACGGCAGGCATCATGGAATTTGAATTGTTTGCTTGGAAATTGCAGATCTCGTGGTGGTCTTGTGATGCATAGTTTGTAAAGCACGAAACTTGTACGCCCCCAGTGAGTGATTATCACATTGCTGGAGGGTATAGAAAATGGTATATAAGTTGGAAAAGGTTTGAATAAAATCGGCTTCAGTCTTGGCCAGACTGTTCCCAGAAGAGCTGCCTCCGAGTAGTTTTCTTCTCTCCGTTCTGATTCACCGGTGCGGTCCTAACCCTTCCCTGGTCAGTGCAGGTCACCGACATGAAGCAGTGCCCCTCTCCTCCCCAGGACAAAGGGCATGATGGAGTCAAGGAGCTGGACAGCCTGAACAGTGACCGACTGAGAACCCTCCAGCTCAATGTCTGCAGCAACGAGGAGGTGGAGAAAGCAGTGGAGCTGGTCCACTCGAGCCTGAAGGATCCTGAGAAAGGTAGGGGGTGCCCTTGGGACAGCAGGGATCATGCATGGGCTGTTGGGGGAGCCTTCCTAAACACTGCCCTCTATTTGCTGGCATTGTGCCAAAAGGCTTCCTTCTTTTTCTTTCTTTCTTTTTTTTTTTTTTTTAGTCGGAGTCTCACCCTGTCACCCAGGCTGGAGTGCAGTGTTACACTCTCGGCCACTGCAGCCTTGACCTGCTGGGTGCAGGCGATCCTTCCACCTCAACCTTCCAAGTAGCTAGAACTACAGGCACGTGCTACCACGCCCAGCTTATTTTTTGATTTATTGTAGAGATGAGGTCTCACCAAGTTTCCCAGGTGGGTCTCAAACTCCTGAACTCAGGCAATCCTCTTGCCTTGGCCTCCCAAAGTGCTGGGATTACAGACTTGAACCACCGCATCCGGCCTAAGGCTTCTTTCTTTATTGCTTAAATTCTTCCTCCTGCATAGTCAGAGGAAGGGTATTGAATTAGACACATCTGAACAATAGGGCAATAAGAAATATAGCCAGGGCATGAATCCAGAATCTGTGGAGTGCTGGGTGGGTATGCACCGATGTGGGTCAGCTCACTGAATGCCCAGTTTGGGCCAAGTGCTATGCAGGGTGCTGGGGACACACAGATGACCAAGACACAGTCTGTCTCCAGGGGCCTTATAGTTCAGTGAGGGGACTGATTTCAACATCAGGGAGCCATGCACTGAGAGAACAGAGTAGCACAGGAGAGAGGGTTTAGTCCCGTCTTGGGGTCACTGCAGGAACAGGCAAGTTATGGCAGATTGTAGCAGAGAGCAGGGACAGTCGTTCCAGAAGGCGGCAGAGCATGGACAACAGTGGAAAACAGCGCTGGGTGGGCTGGGTGACGACAGGCGATTTGGTATTAGTCAGGTGGAGGTGGTTGGGGAGAGTGGGCATCCAGAGCCTTGAGTGCCAGGTGAGGGAGCATGGCTTCTCTCCTGAGGGCACTGAGGAGCCACTGGAGGGGTTGTCCTGAGGACAGTGGTCTGGTCAGACTTGTGCTGCTCACCCTGAGATTGCCTTGGCCATGTGGAGGGTAGATTTCAAGGGGGACCAAAGCGTGGGTTTGAGTCCTCAACTGGGGTGGTGGGCATGGGGAAAGGGGAAGGGTCAGATTCGAGGAGTCTGGAGAGGGCAAAGCGGGCTGCAGTTGGTGACTAGGATGTGAGATGAGGCGAGCAGTCTCTGTCCTGGACACCAGCGGACCCTCACTGCAGGAGGAGGCTGAGGGAGGGAGAGATGCTACAGTGCCTGCCCTGGGAGAATGTCCAGGCTAGAGATCAGGTGCCCATGGTGGAAGGTGAGACTGGGAGTGGGGAGACGCACAGAGGACTCCTGGGGAATGTGAGTGTTTAGGGATTGGAGGAGGGGAAGGGACAGCTCCTTCAGAGAGGTGTCAAATAGTACCCCGAAACTACTCATAAAGGAACAGAAAGCTTGAGGGGTCAGTACCCAACAGGTCAAATGCTGTAGAAAGTTCCTGTAGCGTAAGAACTCAAATGTCCTTCCAGTTCAGCCAAGTGGAAGACCGTGGAAGAGGGGCTCAGTTGTACAACGCCAGGGGGCGCCATTCATATGGAATTCAGCAGTGATGGAGGGAGCTCCCTTGTAGAAGGCAGACTATGAAATTCACCTGTGAGCTCCCTGATAGCCTAGGAAAAAAGGGTATGCCTCATTCAGCTCTCTGCACTTCCACAGATTTGGGTGGTGGCAGCTGGGTTGTGAGTTCAGTCTCCAAGTGGGGAGGAAGGAAGCGGGCAGGGTGACCAGGGCCTGTGTTGGGTACCCTGGGCTGAGCATGTACCAATCAGGTTGACAGGCTACAGTCTCTGAGTAGCTGCCTCAGAGCTGTTCTGTGTGGCTGTCAGCTATGCTCTGTGGCTACTGGTGACCCTGTTCTGGGCAGTCAGTCTGTCAATGATGTACCACCTCGTTAGCCCAGTGCCACCCCCTCTACCACCACAGGCCACTCCCATGTCCCTCTGTTCTCTGAGGAGAGGCCTGTGAGTTCCTGACCTCCTGAACATCTGCTTACTAATTACGGGCAGAGCCAGCACTCCTGTCCCATTAAGAAAAGGCAGGATGGATCCCACTGGGATGATTACCAGCTCTGAACCTACAGCCGGCTTCGTCCCTCCCTGGTGGTAAATCCTCCCCCGCCCGCCTTCCCTGGCAGCTGGGATATTGCCTTCATAAACTGTTAGGCAGGAAAACAGCTGCGTCAGCACCATGAAGCCACTTCAGTACAGCCTGTGGGTTTTGTGGTGACTTGAAATGCCCGTGGAAAGGCGTCATCACGGAGACCTGAGTGCAGAGTGGGCCTGCACCAGGGCTGGGGCTGCTCAGGGCCGTGGTCCTTGTCCCCTGCCTCCTTCCCCTGGGCAGAACCACCTCCAGTCTCTGTACCGGACCAGCTAATTGACCCAAGCTGCAAGGCAGGGTGGGCCCTGGGACACACACAGTGAGGAGGCTGTCACCCCTGTGCCCTGGGATCTGAGCTGGAACCCCAGCGCCAGCCCTGATGCTTTGTCCACGTGACACATTCCAGGAGAGTTTGCTCAACCACTCACCATGACCTTACTTAACCAGTACTGTATTTTTTGAAAACTTTAAGATTTTTAGGTCTGAAGAAAGAAAATAAATGTGTCAGATATGCGGCTGTGTGCCCTCTTCTTCCTCCACCTCGTCTTCTCCACCTCCCCCACTTCCTTTCTCTCTTCCTCTTGTCCCCTTTACCCCCTTTCCACTCTCAGCTCTGGGCTGTTTCCTGGTCATGCAATGGAATTCCCCCAGGCAATGCTGGCTTTAGACTCCAGGTGGCGCTCTCTCAGAGCTTTCAAAGGCCAGCAATGGCCACCTCTGATTCAAATCCTACTCAGACAGGAAGGAACCTTTCAGGAGAGGCGTCCCTTCCCCTTTCCTCACGGTGGGGGCACATTTTGGTGGCAAGTTTGGTGCCCTTCACCCTGGCTCTGTGGAGCCGTTGCTGCCAAAGCCTGGGGTGAAATGATGGGGATGTCTGATTAGAGCTCTGGAGCCATCTGCTGCTAGCCCCTCCCCGCCAGCAGGACGCTGAGGGACTGGACATCTGGAGCCTGTGTCCAGCCAGGAAAAAGCTGAGTGAGTGGGCCAGTGGGCATTTAGGCAGGCTGTGGCAAGGTCTGGTCTTGGCACCATCACTTACCAGTAGTCAATAAACAGGTATTGAGCACCTGCTGTATATATACTTGGTAGTGTTCTGAGTACCAGAAGGGGTATGACCTGGTAGGGAGAGTTTGTGGTGGGACACCAGTCGAGAGGAAGTCAGTGGCTTCAGGACAGGACTTCCAAGTAGCGGGTATAGACTGGGGGCGTTATTCCATGGACAGGGAAGACTCTACATCTGGGACACCCTCAGTCTGGAAGAAGACTGGATTTACTTTGGGCTTTACCTCTTAATAGAGGTGTGACCTTGGGCTTGATCCTTCCTGCGCAGGCCTCAGCTTGCTCATCTGTGAAATAGGGAAAGTATTCCCCGGGCTGTCCAGTGTTCGCTCTTAGATCAAACCATTGCAGGAACACAATGGAATTTCAACACAAGCTCTCAGGCTGAGGAGTGGGGGAGTTGAGCAGAGCTGGGCGGGGCCGTGATGTCAGGGGGCACCAGGTTGTCCAGACTTAGAGAGGGCAGAACACATGAGGGCAGTGGGAGAGAAGCCTGGAGAAAGCCTCGCATACCACGCTACGGAATGAGGACCGTGGAGCAAGAGGTGACTGATGAGAGGAGGGTGAGTCTGGCTGAGGGAGTGGGTGAAGTTGAAGGTGGAAGAGAGAGACTGAGACCCAGAAGGAGGCTTTTCTACTAGCACAGGAGAGAGGCAACAAGGTCCCAAGTGGACACAAGTGGAAACAGGAGGGAAGAACTGATTCTAATGGGCCAGCAAAGGAAACCCGCAGCTGCATGGGGCTAAGTGTGAGGGCTTTGTCCTCACACAGACCTGGATCCAAGTCCCATCGTCCCCACCTGTTAGCTGGGTGACATTGAGCAAGATGCCTCAACTGCGTCGACCAGATATGGGACAATTTAGCATGTACTTTGTAAGCTGCTTGTGAAGATCAGGTGAGTTAACGGAGGCAAAGTGCTTCATTCGGGGCCTGGTGGCTGTCGTTTTGATCTTCAGCTGTAATATGGACAGCACGTGGTGATTCATTAGATGTGGGAGAAGTTGAAGGAGCTGGAGGAGTCAGAGATGAAAGTGAAATGATTAACGAAGAGGAGGAGCAGGCTTGGGCAGTCTGGAAACTTGATGTGTTGGTTGTGGTTAGAGTTGGGGACCTGTGGGACATTCAGGTGAAAGTGAGATAAGAGGAGACCTGTGAGGAGAGAGCCATGGCTCCTGAAGGGTGAGGGGAACCCTTGAAGAAGAGATGATCTTGAGGCTGTTGCAGAGAGAGATCTGTCCCCCAGGCCAACAAGAATGGCTTCGTTAAGTTTATTCAGAACATTGAGGATTCCAGAGAGTGACTTGTTCCCCAAACTATTACTGCATGTTAAGTCAGCAAAACTGATCCGGGAGTGGTGTACTTTCACAGGCCATATTTAATTAAACTTTTTTGGATAGTAGTGTCAGATGTAATTGTTCTAAAATGCTATATGCATTTTAGGCCATGTGATATTGTCCCTTATGAATCAAACACAAAACTGTTGGAAAATTCCAGGTACATAAAGAAGATGAGGGCACCTAAGGGTTGAGTGCAATCCGGGATGCAGGAAATGGTTGGGTATCATTACCGCCAAGGGAGAAAGGAGGGTCAGGGAGCATTAGTCGTACTCACATTGCAGCCAGGGTGAGGAGAGTGGAGGCTGGGGGCGGGGTCCCTGGCACACCCATCCTAACCCGAAGGGCCAGAAACCCAGCATGGTATGACTGGGAGATGCGGAGTAGAGAAGGTTCTCGGAAGCCTAGGGGAGAGAAAAGGAGAGCAGGTTGCATGGTTACCAAAGGCTCTTTAGGATATGGAGACATGTATTTGTAGACATTCATTCACCTAACATGCAGTTATTGAGCACTTAATGTGTACAGCATTAAAGGGAAGGAGCCAGGGTCAAGGGAAAAGTTTTAAGTTGCCTAAGAGAGAAGGATCAGTGGCTTGCAGGCTCAGAGATGGTGGTGGAGGTGTTGGCCATGCCAAGTGGGGAGTGGCTGCTTGCTCCTCTGGAAAGTGGAGAGGGTGAAGATTCAGGGCAGGTCTGCAGGGAGAGGGCAGAAGCTGTGGGGTTGTAATGGACGACTGATCATGTCACGGGTGAGACCTGAGCGGTCACAGGTGAGCTCTGAGAGCAGGGAAGCGTCCACATGGCCTTGCTGGGGGATGGGGTGAGCTCTGCACGGACACTTTGTTAACTGACAATTTCCTTTCCCTAACAAATGTCCTTAATTCCCCATAATTGAAGGAGAAGGCACAGAGGTCAGTTGATGAAGCTTTAATTTGGGTAACACGGAAGGAAAGCAGCTAGAGACCAATTACTCTGTCATTTACACAAACTCATTTCCATGATTAACTTGGAAAATGAAGCAGGGCCGAGTTCCCACAGGTGGGGGCAGGCCCCAGGAGAGCTCTGCTCTGAGGCTGCGCCTTGGGAAGAAGACTAGCCCCTGGGGAGTTCTACAACGGGGGGGGGGGGGGGAGCTCCGTCCTGAGACTCTGGCCCATCCAGCCCTTGCACGCCCCAAAACTGAAGCAAAGAGGACCCTGCAAAACAAGGCTGCCTCCTCCCTGCCGCTTTCAACTCTGCCTGTAACTTACTGGGTCAACTTAAGCCTGTCCTTTTTCCTCAGGGCCTCAGTTTCCCTAGATGTAAGATTAGTTAATAGGCTATATAAACTCCAAGGACCCTTCCAGCACCAACATCCTCTGAGTCTACAAGGGCCAGCTGTTCCTTTCTTAGCTAGTCTTGCAGGGAACCGCCAACCCAAGTACAGTGTGAGAGTGTACATTTCCTCCGACCCTGTCCTCAGCCCTATGTGAAGACCATCAAATAGCGCCATGTTTCAGAGGCAGGAGATGCTTGGGTGTCATTAATGCCGAAGGAGAAGAGAGTGTCCAGGAGCATTAGTCATACTCATATTGTAGCCAGGTTGAGGAAAGTGAAGACTGGGGGTGGGGTCCCTGGGAGAGAAGAGAGCAGAGTCGTTGTTAGGAGGGTTTTGGGGTGGAGCAGGACTGGACCTGACTTGTGATCAAGGCTTGGCTGTACCTCTGTCTTGATGTGTGACCTAGGAGCTTGAAGCCCTCTCTGGTCCTGCAGAGGGTGCTTGGCCTGGAAGACCCCTAAGGTTCCCCTGGGCCTGACAAGAGGAGAGAGAATGCTGGTGAAAGCTCAGAGGCAGGAATGAGTCAACAGGTGTGATGTATGGAGTTCAGGGTATGGGGATAAGATGGGGGGAGTAGAGTGGAAGTGAGGATTTGGGGTGACATGGGACTCAAGGATGGGGGACACTACAGGGCTGGGTCATGATGGGCCCAGAGAATGGAGTCAGGCAGGCATGACATGAGGACAGGCTATTCTAGACTTAGGGGAGGGTCTTAGCCAGCACTTTAGGCCTCTCTATCTCCTCCCATTCCTGGGTGATGCTAGAAAGTTTTCTGAGGGCCTTGGGCAAGAGGCTGGGAAGTCACAGGGAAAGGGGAACGTGCTACAGCTTGATGGACAATGTGTGAGGCTGAGCATGGTGACTGCAGTTCTGTCCTCTCCTGTCCAGGGATGTGGGGCCTGGTTAACAACGCGGGCATCTCAACATTCGGGGAGGTGGAATTCACCAGCATGGAGACCTACAAGGCGGTGGCGGAAGTGAACCTCTGGGGAACAGTGCGGATGACTAAATCCTTTCTCCCCCTCATCCGAAGGGCTAAAGGTGAGTGGGAAAGGGAGCTCCTTCCTGCCCTGGACCTGCCCCCACGTGTTCATCTTTGCTTAGAATAGAAATGCTTGTCCCAGCAGGTCTAACATCCATACCCAATAGGCTGAGCTCATGAATCGCTGGGACCATGCTGGGTCTGGAGCTGATAATGGGCAGTGGGGCCGTGATCATGTAGGGGAAAAAGGGATGTGTGGCTTTCAGAAAGTAGGGCAGGTAAGAGGTCACTGGTCTATGCACCAAAGGCTTAAGGATTATAGCAACAATCCACTCTGGGAACCTAATTAGAGAGATAATCATCCTTTGCACAAAGCTGTGTTGTACACATCATTGTAGCAGTAGTTAAGTAAAATTTGGCATTTTATTACTCTGTAGTTTTTAAAATGAGTAGTATTAAGTTAAGAAACAATAGTAATAATCAAGATTAGAAATGTGAAAAACACTCAGCCTGTAATCCCGCGCCTTGGGAGGCTGAGGTGAGTGGATTGCCTGAGCCTGCGGGTTCGAGACCCGCCTGGGCAACTTGGCGAGACCTCATCTCTACAATAAAAAAAATCAAAAAATTAGCCGGGTGTGGTAGCGCGCACCTGTCATTCCAGCTACTTGGAAGGCTGAGGCGGAAGGATCACTGGAGCCCAGCAGGTTGAGATTGCGGTGGCTGGGAGCAGCCACTGAACTCCAGTCTGGGCGACAGAGTGAGACTCCAACTCAAAAAAAAAGAAATATGAAAAACAGACAAAACACCCAAACTCATGTTGGATAGCCAAATGTGCACAAACCACCTTAGAAGTCAATGATTCTGATTTTCCTTCTAGAATAGCACACAAGGGCAAGATCCGTAGCTCCATTCTGAAGTTCTAGCAACAACAGGAATAAACACAAAGTGCAGCTGTAGGATTTTAGAAGAAAACTCCAGCCTTTCAGTGACTTCCAACTTGGAGGTTTCTGAAAGGTGCCTCCCCACAGTGCCCAGGGCGTTCCCCTTCCTGGTGCACAATACCCAGGACAAGCTGGTACCAGGTCTGCATGGGCTTACCTGGCTAGGCTGAATGTGATCCACCTCCCACCCCACTGCCCCCAGGACTGGGCCAGAGAGTCTTTTCGGGGGACCACCACTCCCTTCCAGCCCATGACTCTGTTCTCATGTCCTGGCCCTGAAGTCAGGTTCAGAAACCCTGCTTCTCTGTTTACTGGGCTCTCTTGCCACTCAGAATGGATCCGAGTTGGGGAATCGAGCCTAACAGCACAGGTCCCGTCCTCTTTGAGGGCTGCCTCAAGGGCCTCCCTGCCAGCCATAACCTCCAGGTACTCCTCCTTCTGCACGCCAACCTCCCTCCCCAGGTTGTCTCCAACAGACCTTTGGACTTAGCATGTTATTTACCTGCCCATCTTACTATTTGAGCTGAATTTCAAACTCCACGAGGCTAAAGTGAAGGCTTTAGGCTATATTCCTCCCTGACTGGCGGCAGACCTTGTCCATAATGAATACTCAGCTCCACACTGAAGCTGTCTCGCCTCCTAGATCCCCCCTTGTGATTTCACCCCACATGATTATCACCAGGCAGGGCTCTGTCTGGTTTTTGCATTAGCTGTGTGTCACTTATTACACTGTGTCCTCCTGGTATGCAGGCCTTCTTCTCTTTCATTTATCTTCCCCTGTCCCACTGGGCATAGCCTAACCAGTGAGAAGGCCCCCTGCCTGGTTGGTTCGGAAGTGGTTCCGTCCAGGCCTCTGGACACATGCCAGATCCCAGCCTTGGTGCCATAGGGCAGTGCCACCTGAGCAGGTAATCACTATCTCCCTCTGCAGGCCGCGTGGTCAATATCAGCAGCATGCTGGGCCGCATGGCCAACCCAGCCCGCTCCCCATACTGCATCACCAAGTTCGGGGTAGAGGCTTTCTCTGACTGCCTGCGCTACGAGATGCACCCACTGGGTGTGAAGGTCAGTGTGGTGGAACCCGGCAACTTCATCGCCGCCACCAGCCTTTACAGCCCCGAGAGCATCCAGGCCATCGCCAGGAAGATGTGGGACGAGCTGCCCGAGGTCGTGCGTAAGGACTATGGCAAGAAGTACTTCGATGAAAAGATTGCCAAGATGGAGACTTACTGTAACAGTGGCTCCACGGACACGTCCCCTGTCATTGATGCTGTCACACACGCCCTGACTGCTACTACCCCCTACACCCGTTACCACCCCATGGATTACTATTGGTGGCTGCGAATGCAGATCATGACTCACCTGCCTGGGGCAGTGTCCGACATGATCTACATACACTGAAGAGTTTCACTGTGGCCTCTGTTGAGGACCAGTGGGGGTGGGGGTAGGGAGGAGCTCACATAGTCAACTCTTGATTATCTACTTTGGACTGTCCACTGTCCAGGAGGACCTATTACTTGATGTAACATCGGCCAGAGGGAATAACTCAACCTGACTTGGTTGCATAGTGAGTGACTTCACAAATGGGGTATGTAAGCCCCTAAACCTCAGGGCAAACATGGTGCATCTATCTGGAGTTGATTTCATATACAGATTTGGGGGAAAACATCATTATGTTAAAAGCAGATTTGTTATAGAATATAATCCAAATTCCTTTACATCTTTAAGCCAAAATATCAGTTCAAAAATTTTTATCATTTGATCCTTTAGCCAGCCTCATAAGTAAAAAAGACAGATTTTTTTTTCTTTTGCACATGAGGAATTTGCAGTTCCAAGAGGATACATGAAATAACCCTCTTATTGCTTATATACGGTTCAAGTCATGTGTTCCTCCCAGTGCTGTAGAAACACTTCATGTTTTGCATTCCAGGGTTGCTCTCGATCCATTTTCCAAGAATCCGCTGACTAACTCTGTGTCCTGGTCCAAGCCATGCATCCTAAGTGCCCACTGCATACTCCCGCTATGGTGACTGGCCGGTGCTGTATGACTGGCCAGCGGCAGCCAGTGATTCAAAGCTGGCTATGTGGAGGGTGGTGGGAATCATTCTGGAGGTTTCTATTTGAGATTTCTCCAGGCTCTTTTGAGACTTAGGATAGACTTGTGTGGAGATGCTCTTTGGCTAAGAAGGCAGGTTGTTTCTGGTTTGGGTCTGCTTGCTTTTGTCTGGGTGAGGCCAGTGTCAATGGGGCAGGCTTGCAGGAACAGCAAAGCCCTCAGAGGTGGGTCTGGGTTCCTTGTTGGTCTTACATGGTGCTTACACACACACACACACACACACACACACACACACACTCACACACACACTCACACACGCACCCTGTTCTGCTGGGCTTCCAGGTGACCTTCAGTGATGGCTCACCTTCCTCCTGTGGCCTTATTTTTAACTAAGAAGCCAGGCCACTATTAGGCAGTCTGCATGAGCCCTTCTAGGGTTTGGGTTTGCAGGCTTCCATTCTTGCAATTACCCAGGGTCTGATGCTTGAACCAAAACCAGGCATCACCGTCTTCCAGGTGGCTTTAGGCCTAGGGCAGAGTCCCAAGTGCCAGCTTTACAAATCAAACTAGCATTTCTGCCTCTCCCTGAAAGGGCTAGGCCTGCCGCTAGAGGGCGCCCTCCTCCTCCGCAGGCGGAGTTGGCCGCCTATGCCCCAAACTCGGGCGCTTCCTCTCAAATTTGAGGTTTCTCCAAGGGTTTGGGATTCCCACCGGATAAACTGCCTGGGAACACAAAAGCAAGGCCCCTAGAAAGCAGCGTTCCCCCTCGTCTAACAGCTGCCTGGCTCGAACCTGGAGTCTAGCGCAAGGAGAAGGCAGAAGAACACGGGCAGCTGGACAGGCAATGAAGTTCAGGCAGTGCCAAGGAAAGGGGTCTCACAATGAGCAGATTCAGCTTGCCTTCTGGGCCTTTGTCCCTCTGTCTTCACACAGGGATGCCCTGTCCCAGCTCCTTGTCTGCAGGGTGAGATCCAGAGTGTCTAGAGGCAGGGAGGGGGAGGCCGGCAGGAGCCATTGTGTTTACATAACAACACTAAGATGCTTTCGTACCACAAAGCTTGGACCCTTTTAGAACTGCATTTTTACATTGTGGAAGAATTTGTTTTCATGCTTGATTTTAATAAAGGAAAACAGATGTGGCACTTGGAGTTGCACGCTTGCATCCATACCTGGGAACTAGAGGGTAGTGGGTATGATCACGTGCTCTGGGTTCTTCAGATCAGCCATCAACTGGACACTGGAGAAGCTGCATGCATGTCTGCTGGTGTCTTCAGCAGTAAGACAGGACTGTTGGGGCAGCCTATAGGCTGTCCTGACCTTTTCCCAGTGATTGAAAAGCACTTGGCACATTCCCTCCAAACACTCTCAGTGCTAATTAAAACCTCACATTTACCATGTACTGTCTGACAGCTTAGGGCCTACTTAAGTGCAGGATCTAGTTTTGATCTTTAAGACATGGCTGAAGTGGACAAAAAAGAGGTTGCTATTCCCATTTTATAGATGACATAACTGAAACCCACAGAGGACAAGTGACTGACCCAGCGTCACAGTGAATCTGAGACAGAACCGGTGCCAGAACAAAAGTTTCCTGAGTGGCAATATTCACTGTCACGTTAAGCTGTGACTCACAACAGCCCTGGAAGTGACACTGGTTGGAGCCACCAGATGCCTAGCTCCCCACTACTTTGCCGGCAGAGAGCTGCCACTTCTTGTTGGGGTGGGGGTAGGGTGGAGGCCTCTGTCTGTGGGGATCCATGGTCTGGCACCTCCAGCCAGTACAAACCCCTCCCTTGATGGCTGTAGGCGGGTTGGGGACTTTTTCCAAGATACTCCTGACAGAGCCTTGTTACGGAGCACACGCTGCGCTTATTATTCCATGGGGTCCAAGAGGCTGTGTGAGCAGGTGACGGCCAGTCTGGCCCTGCCTCTCACAAGCTGCTAGGGCCGCTCCCTTGCCACCCCTGGCAGGGAGTCTGGCAAAGACTCCGCACTTGTGAGGTCTGTTCACTTCCTGCATTTCAAACAGGGCCCAGCTCTGCAAACCTGTGTGAACCTCATCTAGTGCAGGCGCCGCCAAGGGTGAGCAGTGGCTCCCCTGACTCAGGCCGCCCCAGGTGCCCTCGGCTCCAGGAGCGGTTGGCCAGAGAACACCCAGGCCCCTGTGTGTAGTGCGGACCACGTTACCCAGCTACCGCCGCCACCTTTCACCTGATTCTCGTAGCAGCCCTGGCAGGTAGGTGCAGGGTGGGGTTATTAGCTCATTTTACAGATAAGGAAACAGGCTTCCCCAAGTCTGTCTCCAGAGTGAGGGATAAGCTGGGTGTCAAGCCAGATCTAACCTCCAGTCCAGAGCTGGTGATACATGAAAAGCAGGGCAGATGGCATCAGGAGCTAAATAAGGAGGGAAAAATACCTCAGTTATGTAAGAGTGAGCAGACTCTTTAAGCCTGTGCACAAGTAACAACCACAGAGTACTGCCACAAGAGCCAGCTCCTCCTTCCATTCCTCCTTTGGCCTCTGAGCGCCGCCCCCTAGCGACTCTCCACCAGAAAACCAGGGCCTTGGTTGGTCTAATGCTGCCTCATCAGGAGCCTGTCCCAGGACAATGCTCTAGGGAGGCCAAAGCCCAAACTCCAGCAGAGACGGATTCCAAAGTTGCCCCCAAAGGTTTGAGGGTCACGTGAGTGCAGAGCTTGACAGACCAGTGACTATTTTTGCTCAGACAGAGAGGGACAAGAGAGCCGTAGGGCTCTAATGGAGACGAAGCTCACAACCCCAGAGGGTACGAGGCCTTTATGATGTGTGCAGCCACTGAGGAAGGGCGACTTGTGAATGGCAGCTTCGGAGGCACAGGGTGGGCCACTGTTGGGCCAGAGGCTAGGGCTGAGAGAGGGTGCCAGGACCTCTGCAATCCCAGAGGCAGAAAGGGGACTCTACCATCATCAAGCCTGACTTGGATGAGGGGCCTCCAAACCAGGGCTTGAATCCCTCCAGTGACAGGGAGCTCATTACTTCTTAGAAGGACATTTTCTTGGTTTGGGAAAATTTATCCAAAGACTGAGCTGAATCCTGCCACCTCTACCTTAACTCTTTTGGCACCCAGTTATGACCCAGACCACCCAGAATAAAGTAACTCTTCTCAAATAGCTTTCTGGATATCTTGAAGCAGCCAGGTCAGATTCAAGAGCCCAGGTCCCCCATTTGACAAGATTTCCACACTTCTCACCATCTGAACAAAATTTCATCTCTGTTGAGCCCATCCCTCATTCCTGATGGCACGGTAACCCTCAAGCAGCCAGAAATGCCAAGGCAGGTTAATACCTTTGGTGAGACGCTGACACTCCTTACATGAACACGCCCTCTCACAACTAACCAAGTGCCTTCACAGCAAACCTTCCATCCAATCCTCATTAATGGCTTAATGCCTTAGACCATTATTCTCATTTTATATATAAGCAGACAACCTCAAGGAGGTGAATGATCTGCCTGAAATCACAGAGCCAGACGTGGGATAACCAAGATAGAGACCCAGGCCGTCTGGCTTCCATTCCTGGAGCTCCTCCCTTTACTCCCAGGCTGCCTCAGTCTCCCCATTGAGCTCCAGAGCTGGGCTGGACTCTGCAGTCAGAGTCTGGCCAGGTAGCATGGTGAGGGAGTGACAGGAGGGGCAGCAGTAAAGCCAGTGTCATCCTAGTCCAGACAACAGCGTGGAAAGGGAGGCCCAGGCCTTCCTGTCTCATTGCATGTGTATCTGTAGTGTTTGAGGTATCCCCTTGGGGCCTGGATGCCGATGGAGGGGCTGAGGGAGAAAAGAGCATTGCCTAGGCTGTGGGGGAGGACCACACTGGCCTCAGCATCCATGGAGATGAGTAGAGTGAGGCAGTGTGAACAGGGACCAACCTCAGGAGATGCTGGAAACACCATGCGCTGCTCTCTCGGTGAGACTTAATTATGCTATAAAATGTAAGGCTACTCCCACTTATCAAATTATAGATGAGCTTAATTACAGCTCACTGAGTAACCACACTGGGCTCCTTCAGAAATAGCAGCAGGCTGGCTGCTCCTCTCAGCCTTAGCTGTAGCCACCCTGGTTTCAGGAGGCACTGAGCATTGTTCCTGGGGCCTCAGAGGCTGCTAAACTCAGTGTCCGACAAAACCAGGCACAGTGGGCTGCACCAGGCACTCTCCTGTCCCAACCACCCTGCAGGGGCTGCTCTCAGCAAGTGAGTGCTCCACTGGGCCATTGGGCCGTGTGTTCTATGACTGGGGTATCTACTCTTTCCTACTTATATTGTGTTCTGGGCAAAGGTTTTGGCTCCTAATGTCTGACCAGAGGTGTACAAAGTGGTGCAGGACCTACTATAAGAAATAAAGAGTGAGTCTAGGCATGTGGCTCACGCCTGTAATCCCAGCAGTTTGGGAGGCTGAGGTGGGAGTATTGCTTAAGGTCAGAAGTTTGAGACCAGCCTGGGAAACATACTGAGACCCTATCTCTTAAAAATCACCACCACAACACAATTAGCCAGGCCTGGTGGCACCTGCCTATAGCTGTAGCTACTCAGAAGGCTGAGGCAGGAGGATCGCTTAAACCCAGGAGTTCTAGACCACAGTGAACTATGATTGTACCACTGCACTCCAGCATGGGCAACAGAGTATGACCTCGACTCAAAAAAAGAAAGAAAAAGCAGGGCAACGGATGAGAAAACACAAGCTTTGCGGAGACTCGGGGCACCTTCATGGAAACAGGGTAAAGAGTAACAGGTCACTAGGGAGTAGGAAAAATTTTATGTGAGCACCAAGGGCATCATACACTTCACTGCAGACTGGCAGGATGGACAGATTCTTGTTCCAATGGAAGAAACCGGTGGGAGGCACAGTATGACTTCAGGGACTGTGACGGGAAGGGGGCAACAAAAACTGTGATGCTGTTAATGTCCTCATATTCAGAGATGCAGTCCCATGCGTGACAGCATCCACTCCTCCCTCTGTGCCTTCATTATTTGAGTCTTTTCTTTGTGCTGGCTCTGTCTAGGAGTAGGAGTCCAATGGCAAGCAGCCCACTGCCCTCCCAGAGCTCACAGTCTAGCCCAGCATAATCCAGGGTAACAGGTGCCATGATTTGGGGCAGAAAGTGAAAGGCTTTATTCTACCAGATATGAATTAAAATACAGTCATTTTCAATCTACATGCAGCTTATCTGTCTTCTTCCCTGCACAGTCTTGGAACCCCCTGCCAACAGCTGATGTGACAGGTGTGAATGGGCAGGGATCTTTCCTTACTTGGGCAGCATCATGACTTTCTCAAAGGAATAGTAAAAAGTGAGGGTTCCTGGAAACCCAGACGCCAACAACGTGAGGTGGCCAAGCACATGTTGCTGGGGCTGCTTGAAGAATGACCAAGCAGGGGGCTCTGTGACATGTGGGGCTGGGCACATAGTCTGCAGGCTAAGAGCAGAACTAGATTAGAGGCTTAGGCTGCACCCAAACATGGAAGAGTGGACACCATCATGAAGGACGTGCCAATTGGAGTTTTCGACCTTGGGGGTTTATTGTCTATGTGGTTAAGTGTATAACAAAATAATACAGCAAAATGTAAAAAAGAGGTAGGGAGGCCCTGGGTTTTCTGCCAAAGAGAAAGGAGGGGCATACCTGGAGGGTTCCTGACTTGGCGGGCCCTGGGAGAGGCAGTCCACTGGTGATGCCCTGTTAGGGGTGAAGGGATCTCAGAGACCTTGCAGCGGAGGGATGGAAAAGAAACTAGCCTTGCTGGAAACTTTGTTCTTGCTGAGGTCAGTAAGAAAACAGAAGTTTTGAAGCCAGATAGTCTGGACTTTGATCCTGTTCTGCAACTTCCTGGTTGTATAATGCTGTCAAGTTATCTACTTCCTCTGAGTCTCGTTTTCTTTATGTCTGTGATGGGGATAACAACCCGTACATTGCAGGGCTGTTGCGTAGATTAGGTGAGTGTGTAAGCTCCCCAACATAGCACCTGGCACAGAGTGAGGGACTCAGGAGGTGCCCTGCCCATGCAGTCAGGGCCTAAACAGCCTTTTCCCATGCCCTCCCCACCCAACCTTTCTGAGAAAGGCAAATGTCGTAGACCAAGGGTATTCCAGAGGCAGAGACAGAAATTGGGCAACATT